TATTTACCTCTAATCCTTTAAAACGAACCAAATATTGTTGTAAGATAATCAATGGAGGGTTGTCTAAGAGATAATTCTAGGCTTGACTTGTATGCTGCTGTAAGAGTCTTATTTTGAACTAACATAAAAGTTAATTTGAATTTTACATTTTTTTAAACATTTTAATACTAAGAATTTGTCATTTCTGCTGTTATCTTTTGAAACTGTGGTTTGTTACCAGAGTTGAAATGATATTCACTTATTTCAGAAAAACTCAGCAAATTGTAAGGTTATAACTGTTTCAGAAAATTATCTTCAAATAATTTATATATAGTTTAGATATCGGTTTTATTTTTAAATTTTGATTTTGCATCATTAAATGATACAATCGTATCGAGACCTACCGAACCCTGACCTTTGTCGGTCACTTTCTTTCTCGACTACACGATGGCACGATTTCGGAACAGAACGGCCTAGTGTCGGCACGTGTACAAAGGTTCCGAAACTATTAACACAGAGCAGAAAGGGAAGAAAACTCGTGTTTAAAACTATTAGCATATCATCGCATTCGGTATTGAATATCCGTAATTTAGACCGGAAAAGGGGAAAAATTGATTGAGTAATCGTTTTACCGATTCGACACCTGCCCCGTTTATGATTTGTGGCAATTGGAAACGTCAACACCTGGTCAATATGATGGAATTTTCTCTCGGCCTCTGAGTCATTAGACATATGCAGAGGGTGCTCGAAGCCAACGTCGTTGAGAATAATGGGAAGAATCGGGTTTCACTCGATATTGACGCTATAACTAGTAGGATGTCAGTTTTAAGGGACAAGTGTTAAATTACTATGATGGTAGTACATGAATATAATATTTATATTTAGAAGTTTTAGGTTTTCCTTATTTTATCTTAGTGTGAGAAGTCATTCGATTTATCAGCGTCCAAGATCTACACAAAACAATTAGTAGAAAGTCCCTGTGAGTTGCACAATACGACCCCGTTCATTGCGAAAACCTCCAGTAATTAACAACTGGTACCTTTTCCGACTGGGCGAAAAAAGGTTTAATAGCAGGAAGCAATATTTCGCCCAGTAAACGCCGTGTGTCAGTGCGATTGCACGGGCTTAATAATAGATTTCCAGTTTGAAGGATTGTTTAATTAAAATAAAAAGACTCTAAATCTTCGGCTCGTTCGTTTCGCCTTATCTGGATCTTCGAGACCAAGCATTTGCTTACATTAAGTGAGGTAATGGAAACAAAACCAGGAAATTAATAGGACCTGATAAGAAGTCTCTCGAGCGAATTGCATTAAATTCGGTTAAGTTAAAGACGCTCTTAAAGATTTGCACGCCAACATGTTTACTTGTGAAGTTTCCAATGAGTATAATACCGCGCAGAGATGTAGTACCTGTCATTAAAAGTAGACAAAACTAAAAACATCCTCCCGCAAAGGAAAAACGATTGCTGTTGATTTGTGATGAAACTAATACACATATCCATACGCAAATACGATGCTTTATTCAACTTGTATCCGACGTAATTATCACCTTACAAAAAGACAAACAGGAATATGGCCAATAATAATATCAAGTTCACCAGTTTTCGTGGTCCGCTTTAAAATTTAATATCTTTCAATTAATAATAAATAAATAATATCAAGAATGATCGTTACACAAAAAACATCTGCCTCAGAAAGAAGAGCGTTATCCCTGATCATGTTTTAATACCTAAACAAAAACTATCAGAAACTATTATTTCCTTCCGCAATCTTCAGAGTTCGAACGCGGTTTTTTGAATCAATAATTTCGGTTTTCTTCTGATTTGATTGAAAATACAACGTTACATATGATTTGAGTTTAATTTAATTTAAATTTAATTCGAATCTGTGTGTATCTTGGTCGTCTCTAGGTCTGGCAGGTGAACATAGGCAAGCCAGGAACTACAGGTTCATCACTCTGTAGATCTTAAGATAAAATCTGACCACATAAATAAGCAGTTGACTTATTTATAGGATAAATGTTATAGCTTCTTCGTCACCAATTATAAAACAACGCTAGATTAATATGAAAGATTTCCAGGTGGATTGAAGTCATGTTATATGGAAACTATATACACTAATATATTTTGGTCCCCTAGTATACGTAGTACTTGGCTTTTCCTCACCCAGAAGGAAATCTCAACCTGTATACACAATAACTTTATACAACAAAGTAAATGTTGCTAAGTTAATACACAATCCTAATCCAAGACAATCTTATTGAGTAAAGGCTGGTCGATCGTATTGAGGGTATAGTTTACTTAATATAAAATCTCACAATAGAAATATATAGATAGTTGACTTGTTCTCTTTCAGTTTTAAGTTGGAGCTTGATTATCAACGAGTTTCAACTAACACTAAATTAAAATCAAAGATTACCCAGTTGAAGTATAACTCTGCGTTTTTGGCAACCTACCTAGCCAATTGGTACCAGAATAGACCAAAGATGTATAACCTCAAAAGTATAGATTGAGGTTTTGGTTATTACCCTGTTTTTGACTGTAAGCATTGCGACCAATATTGGCCGAATATGCAAAATCCTATAGTACGCTCCCGTAGTCTGCACAGTCCAGTCAAAAGTCCTACTATCATTCTAGTCTTTACCCTAGGACTAGATTAGTAGTTCAGACTCTGCGATGGTCTTATTATTTACTTTTCCCATTGCTCTGTTTTGGAATAATATGCAATTATTATGCAAACTTCAAGTTTTCATAAAAACACTGTTACCCAAACAAGAACTAACTTGTTGAGCCAGGTTTGATCTTGTTTCAAATGTTTAAATCAACTCTTGGATCAATGTGAAACAGAAAAGTCTTTAACATGAACAAATTGATGAACGAATGAAAAATAAATAACATAAGCTATATTTTGTATATTTGAATGCATAATCTGATCATTCGGGAAGTATGATGTTATCTTTTAATATTACCACTTTAAATTTCGAACTCCTATAGTGTTTGGGACGAACTTGACTTTGTTAGCTTGGAACGTTATATAAACGTTTCATTCCATTAAAAACGAATAAATATTACAAACATTTGTAATGTTTATTTGATTTTTCGTATACGAACTTGTTTTAGAGTAAAGCGCACACATCCATTTGATTATTCGCGTACATGTTCGCTTGTATTTGAGTGTCATTTAAAAACAGCCTATGTAAGATTTCAATGGTAATTTGAAGATGTCATTAAATTAAAAGCTCCGAACACTTCAACCACTCCAATCGCATAAAATTCACGACCGGATGGACAAAGCTCTTTCTTTTAGTGGGCCGTTCTGACGTTAAATTCTGTATTGATGAAGTGCCATAAATGGCTTGGAAACAACAGCTCTTTAACAAGGTTTTAACTCTTTACCGTAGCTTTAAACGGTCACACTCTTTTATTGGCACGATTATCCCGCAGTAAACAAGTGCTGGATTAGCCAAGAGGGTTTCGGGGAAGTGTCGGGATTTTACGGGCGGAATCTAACCCAGGCCCATCAAATTCCCATTTCAAATTCATAGCCCTCGCCCATCTTAAGACGGCTTTTTAAAAAGCGTTCATTAGAAATAATTAATTTGGAAAATATATGACAGTTAACTGCTCATTTTATAATAATATTCACGATAATTTTTAGATGGACGTAATTCGACAAACCAACACTGGAGCTTTAAGAGTGAAACATGTCAGTCATACCAATCCTGCGAGGATAGGTATTTCAATTAAAAACCTCATTAATTTTTTTAAATATATTAGAAGTGTATATAACAGATTTCATGTATTTAATGCAAAGTTTGTTAATTATAAATACTTAAACCTTAGTACTACTACCGATATCTGTACCTAGCTAAAGGGAAAAAAACGGTGTTGTTTCATTTTTGACTTTGCGGCGATTTTGACAGCGTTAATCATTAGATACGTACAGACATGTGCAGAGTTGAACCTAACCTTTCTCGCAGTCCACCGGCATCCCATCATTTGCAATTTAAATGTAATAATATTAAATGGCCGGCAAGATGCGAGAATGCCCACCCAGTTGTTGGAAATCCGAGGCAAACCTCGGTCTTATCCGTCTACCAACTGCGGTTGGGCTCCGCAGGGGGATGCTATCAACTGCTTAGCTAGGTCAATTCAGCATCCAACGCACGCAGTTCTAAACTCTTCATACACACGTTCATTTTTAAATAAATTTTCTCCTACTTACATGTAATTCATTCAATGAGGGGGGTGGAATACTCGATATTCCTCCGTCCCCCTTTATATCTATTACATGACTAAGCTAATTGACGGTTGAGGAGGTACTCGATATTCCGCCATCAATCCTCTCACACCACACATTCCCCGTTTATCGCCTGTATAGTCTCAGCTGTGCGAGGTAAAAATAGTCAATCTGAATTCATTAATGTGAAGAACACTGGTTGAAAGAAGGGGTATATTATGTCCATTATGTGGATGGCTTAACCGACGTTCAAGATTATGTCTATAATAAAACTTTTGCTGTATGCATGTAACCTACTTTTCATTTGCGATAAGTGATTTTTCTGCACTCCAGCATAATATAAACATCCTACAGACAAAACCTTGGAACTTATTAATTAATATCACAAAATGGAAAGTAGTGGTTTTAGGAAGAAAGGGCGTCCATCTCCTTCAGAAAATTGGTCTTTCAAAGGAAATAAAATCAATTTAGGAACCAAATATACGTATCTCGGGGTTGTCCTAACAACAATGCTTTCCATGGCAAAGCACATAAAACGGAATGTACTACTAAGTATGTAAGTTTATTTTTTTCTTCAATGCAAACTATGCTGTGTAAAAATTTCAATTTTTTTATAACAATATAAATTTTAAAAAATATCATCTAGAGAGCTACACAATATGAGATTTGGTGGGATGCCAGTTTTTCATTTCTTTCTGTCATTCTTAAACATAAAAATAAAATCACATGTTTAATCAAGTACTTTAATAAATGCTAAAATTCTAAATTAAGCCCGATCACGATTTAAGCCTCTTTTGCATTCGTGGAAATAAATTCTCTCTTTGGTTGACCTTCATTTAAACTGTGATAATCAAATCTACGAAAGTCGACTTTTCTATAGATGGGTAGACTGGCCATTTTGGCTTCTTGAAATTTGAAAAAACTTTCGTCGTTTGATAGAATATCTTGGAAGTGTTTTCTGAAAACGTCAACAGGTACGAATCCCAAAATGGTATCATGGCGGGCCTTTGCGAACGTGGCCCGGTAACAGTCACAGATAAGGCTGAACTCGCCAAAATACTCTTCATTTTCGATCAGCCCCAAACCGGTTTTCTCAAGATTTTTTAGCAAAATGTTTTCACTTGGCATGTCGTTTTGATACACGTAAATTTCGACGGCACCAACTAGGACTAAGTACAACCCGTCTGAGATATCACCAGTTTTGAATATCACTTCATTACTGTACTTCCGAATTTCCGTTATCCCTGCCAAGAAGTCGAGCCGCGATTTTGACAGCGTATTAAATAAATCGATCATCCCTAGGATGACACGGCATTGTAAATGTGTTTCAAATTCCTTGTTGATTACTAATTGCCGGAAAATGTTTCTACCAAGCATTAACAGTCGTCCTTCTTCCCTCACCAGAATAGACGATGTTCTTTTATGCTTATATAAAAATGCGAGTTCGCCGAAAAGCACACGGGTGTCAAAAGTACGCATAAACGAAACGCTACCGTCCGCATTCTCCTTGTATTCAGCATAGCAACCCTGATCGGCAAAATAGCAATTGTCAGCCTCTTCACCTTGAAGAAACACAAAATGTCCTTTTTGTGTTAATATTGGACGAAATAACCGAGCGACATTGTTAATTACTGATAAATCGAGAAACCTAAAAATTGGATGTTGCCTCAATGCGTTCTTTATATGATTGGCGTCATCCCTTGTAAGTACCAATCTTCGATCTATTTTATCCTGCTTCTGCGGTTCTTTACTGGGATCAACGATAGGTTGTTCGTTCAGACTTGACGCTGCTGATGAAGACCGAGTGTGTTCATTGATGAAATGTTTTTGAGTGATATGTTTTTGCGACGATGAACTTCGACTCTTAACTTTGTCTACATTATCGAACCAAGACGTTAATTCGTGATCGTCATGGACTGATGTGTTTTTAGGGGGATCATTAAGTTGTGCATTTTCAACTAACTTTACTGTCCCAGAAATTTGAAGCTCACCCGAAGTTTTATTTACAATATCTTTCATGCTCCTTTTTTTAGATCTTGCACGATAATGGGCCCGAGGGTCGAAATGATCGGCTGAAACAGCTCCCCTGCGTTTTTGCAACACTTGTTGGTCGACGTGTTCCATCTTTAGCACGTCAGTTCCACTAAAAGAAAGTTTAACATCTCCGGAAAGTTCCTTCATATTTTTGAAATACTGCAAAGAAAAGTCTATGATATTCCTTGGGGAGTTTTCCAGAACGCAGAGGTACAAGTCAAGCAAAACAGTCTTCAATTCTTTTGGGCAATTAACAGTACTAATATAGGAACATGTAGGTAAATAATAAGTATTTACCACCACTTCATTACTGTGATCCATAGTTTTATACATTTATAAAAATAAAACTAATTCTACTACGATCAAAATATGGCCAACTTTTGTATCATATGTCATTAACTAGCATACAACCTTTTTCACATGTGTATTTAATATCGTAATCATATGTGTAACATTAAAATAATTCTCTAGTTGGTTAATTACTTTGTTAGTGAACGAACCTAACTTTAATTGTTTACTGTTAATTAACCAGCGAAAATAGGTGAAACCGTTAAAGTGTTCTATGTCGATAAGTTGGACGTAGCCTAGTATTAATCAACTGCTAAATCATTAATGTTCAATGTTATAAAAATATTTTTTATTCACTTCATGAAATCGCACTAACTATTAAATTAAAGGGAGTCCAATAGTTTCTGGACCAAAAAAATCCGAAACTCCATAACTGTTCTTCCCATGTCATTCTGTGATAGGAACCAAATATGAACTGATCGTTCAGTAAAGCCGATGAAATTGTTCCGTCAACAAAATCTCGCCCCCGATGAGGTAGGTCAGGAGAGTTTATACGGTATGAAAACCATTGTCTACGCTCTACGGCAACCAATTTGGTGCGCTTACTAGTCACCATTGTTAGGGTAGTACCAACCCCGGCTCCCCTTTGTTGGAATTAGCTGATTCAGCCCCGCTTAATAGCCAGACAATGGCTATAATTAAGTTCAAACTATTCATAGATTAAAAATCATTACCCTTTTATCGTATTTCCCTTTCTTTCGGTCATTAGGCCCCAATGAAGGCGTGGTTTTTTTATATACATAAAATGAAGGTTCTTTCAAAATGCAATATCAGTTTTAAAAACGATTATGTAAAGATGACAGAACTGTTTTATTGTTATATCCTTTATTTATTGTTATATATATTTATATATAAAAATACCAAGTTTTGATACCATCAATATTACACAACAGCTAAAAATAATCACACATAGCTTGACGCTATGCTAAAGATGTTATTGTAAAGAGAGTCTTTGGCGTGGAATCAAGGATTTTCATTAAACTTTTTTGATGAGGTCGAAAATATAACCGATTATCAAAGTAAAAATATATAATTATTGCATTTTTTATGCTATTGGGTATCCATGGAAAACGTTAACACAGAAAAATTAAATAGAAATTCAAACTTTAAGATAATTTATTTTTTTATTTTTGTACAACACATCTGATTGTCACTTTAAAAAATGTATTTCCTATCAGTTTTATTATTTGCACGTGAACTCCTTTTTAATGCATAAATCTGTATATATGAAAGTGAATTTTTTTATGCGTGTTAATGGTAAAAACTAAAACTACTCAATCGATTTCGATGAAACTTTCACATTTTGTTTTTATTACTGCCTAGCGGGTTGAAAGAATATGAATGGATGGATTTTCAAAAACGAGATTGCTGGAATTGTGTCGTCTATTTTCACATCTGTTTTCTCAGCAGTCAGCTGTCCAGAAGTACCTTCGGCTTCCGGTATGATAAACGTCCCGCGTCTTTCAAATTACGATTTGGAGGCGCCGACGGTTAATAGACGCAAAAAGTACTCTAATCCTATACACTCGCAAAAAGTACTGAATCGGTTATAGTTGGAAAACTACTTAAACATTATAGACTCAAAAACTACAGAATTGGTTTCGCTGATGTAAAGTTAGGAAGATACACACTTCCTTGTATTTTTACTATAGGCATCAGTGGTGTGGGTAGGAGAACGAACTACCGGAATGTGGCCTGACGTGGAGAACTGTACCGATTTGGTTATACAGGTGTGTACACATAAACAATTACAAATTATGTAAAATATTATTAAATATTGTTTTACAAAACTCGGTCAGTTTAAATTAAAATAAATGTTATACGTAATGCTGTTGTTTTGTCAATTGGATTTAAAAATGTGAAGTTGCGCAGATCCGTGATGTTCAGTTTTGTAATTAATTCGGATGATTTTGCGGTATTATGAATATGTTTTATCTTACATTCTGGCTTCTTGACCTCGCTGTTGTAGAATTGCTTTTGGAATTGCATTTTGTTGTTGAAAAAGCCACGAAAACGACAAAATATTGCCAAGAGATTCTAGTTTAAACACAAAATGAAACAGAAGAAGAAACATCACAACGAAATAAACGAAATATATTTCATATGTCACACTCAAGTGCTCCTGATTCATCACAATTTTACGAAACACGAAATGAAGCACGTCGAGCAAAAAGTAGAGAATTAAGACAATCTTTGTCCTATTGTGATCAAATTGAATAACGTGACAATAGTCGATTACGCATGCAATGAATCGATTAAATTAATTGGTAAAACCTGAAGATGTTGAATTTCAGTATAATTCAGATTTTGAATAAAATTTGCATCCATTTGTGGTTGTTGAATACATTTAAATTATGTTCATTTAATTTATACCCCAATCAAGCAATTGCAATATGTTTAAAATAAAACATTATATTATCCTCCGGGGCAACGCTCGGGTTGTACAGCTGTACATATTACAACATACACATACAAATATATAATCTCATAGTGGGAGTGCGGATGGTCGTTTTTAGGAATTAGTTGCGTTGTGCGATGAAATGACAGCTGGTTGCAGCTCCCAGAGCCCAATTTTTAACTGTAAATTACGAATTGGAATTGCTGATGGACTGCGTGAAGTGATAGTTTCAACTCGGCATATGTATGTGTTTATGCATAAACATCTGCGAATTTGAGCTTATCAACAATCAGATACAGTAGCAGATCAAGACGAAGTAGTAAAGTATCTTAGTTTTGTAAGTTTTTTGTGTTTGTATCAGTTTTGAAAGTTTCTTACTGTGCAGTAATAATTGTGATAATTTTTCTGTAGTATGAATTATGTTTAATCTTACATTCTGACTTTTTCACTCTGCTGTTCAATTGCATTTTGATGTTCTTTGACATATCACCAAAACGACAATATTGTTCGTAGAGTAATGTTAACATTCTTACTAAAATTCAAAGGAGAGGACGAACTAATACAACTTATGCCAATGATACCTACAGAAGTGTAGTAAAATTCAAATTACTATGTGTAAAAGTAATATGTGCAATCAAAATAATGTGTTAAATAACATTTTTTATTACCCTCCTGGGCAACGCCGGGTTATAAAGCAAATAATATAATAGATTTTGACTTCCTCTTATTTTCAATATGTACCTTAATAATATTTGACATGCCAATTAAACAATAATTTAAAATTATTTTCTTAACGTATTTATTAGAACAATATTTAGTTGTGTTTCACGTTTTTCGCACTTTAAATATTACGAGGAATCAACCATCTTCTCAGTAGAACGTCGCGTTGCCAGCGAATCTGCGGGTTCACACTTACTTTCAAACAACAAATCTGTGAGTAGAACCATCAATTACAAAAATCAATCTACATACTCACCCCACCTTCTTCATTTCTAATTACATGAAAAAAATTTAAAATCCGATTGCATCATAGTTTTCAGCGTAAAAAACTTTAAAATGATGTTTTAGGATGGATAGGGTCGTATTTGAAATTTTGAAATTGAACTCGACCTGAGGTACCCTGGACAATTTTTCTACAAAAAAGGTAAAAATTTGATACTAGAGTAAAAAATAATTAACACTTTTTGTTGTGATGTTGATTGGGATTCGGGTTGTGGTCTTCAAACATACAATGTTATTATATCAACGCCCAAGCTTTCGACAAGTTGTATTGCCTTCTTCAGGGATCTACAGAGACATAGGAACATAATCATTTAGACAGTTATAAATTGTATAAATATTTATAAAATATCAGTTTTTTGTTACTTACAGATACAATAAATACAGATATAATACAGTCATAATTTAAACACATTACACATTTCACGATATGTATATATGCAAACTATATACATATATAATAAATAAATAAAAACCTCTTCTTAATAGACACTTACATATATATGCATTTACAATTATTGTAATTTACAGTAATTTATAACTATTTAAATGATTATGTCCCTATGTCTCTGTAGATCCCCTGAAGAAGGTAATAAAACTTGTCGAAAGCTTGGGCATTGATATAATAAGATTGTATGTTTGAAGACCACAACCCGAATCCCAATCAACATCGTATGAAGGCTGGTTGATCGCACTTTTTGTTGTTTCAAAAGAAATTTAGTCGGGCCATCTATAAAGGACATCCTGTATATGTTTTACTGTTTGTACTTGATTCAACAAGTCGGGCCCAACTCTGAAGTCTTTTTGTTAAGAACAGAGCCCCCAGAAGTCTTGATTGAACCTGACTACCAACCGATCAGGTGCCTTTTTATAATAAACTTTAATTCCATTTTCAAACCAATTCATTAATTATACTTTGAAAATAACAATTAAAATAAATAAAATTTTCCTTTTTAAATTTTAAAACAAACAAAACTTTTTTGAATTTAAATAAACACAAATTTCATGCAAACCGTTTGCTAAACCATTTGAAATAAGGGTGAACTCTATTTTAGGGAATCCAACACTTTTTTATTATTTTCAGGATCACACATTTCTTTCTGTCTCTTATCTACCCGGAATGGACTCGTTCACTTGTAGACTCGACCGTCTCTACCCTAATTGTGGAAATACTATTTTTCTTTCACTCGTAGGTAATCCGTAAAAATAATAATTTTATAAAAATGTAAATGAATCAAAACTGCATGGCTTTCATTAAAAATAAACTAGCTACTATTTGTACTTTTAGCCTTTCAGATAAGCTTAAAAAAAGTTTTAGTGTGAAGAAATCCTGTATGGAAACGGG